CAAAAGTTGCGAATTATATTGCACAAGGTGCAGAGAAGATCGGTGTAACTGTTCATCAAATGGATATTGAGCATATTGATTGGGATATTTTAGATCAAGCGAATGCCATAATTTTTGGCTCACCGACCTATATGGGAAGTGTTACAGGTCCATTTAAAATGTTTATGGACTCTACATCTAAACGTTGGAAAAATCGTGATTGGCAGGGCAAACTAGCTGCCGCATTTACCAACTCAGGTGGTTTAAGTGGCGATAAGTTATCTGTACTGCAACAGATTAATATCTTTGCAATGCAGCATGGCATGTTATGGTCTGGACTCCCTTTAATGCCTACAGGTGTTAAACCCACAGATTTAAACCGTATGGCGGGTTATTTGGGATTAATGACACAATCAGATAATGCACCTGTTGAAATTACACCACCCTCTGGTGACTTGCAAACCGCAACATGGTTTGGAGAGTATATTGCATTACTATTAAATAAAATTACCCCGTAGTTGTTCAGTGGTATTCTATAAAAGAATGAAAAATAGAATAAATAAAAACTTTTATAATAGGCTTCTTGGATAAGCCATTTTTAAACTATAGATCAATATAAAAGCCCCTTCTCCCAGCGGGAGAAGCAATTTTAAATACCAATATGATTCAATCAATATGATCATTTTTTGCATTTATGAAAACGTATTATGCACTGGTGGCTTATGATCTGCTTTGGACGGATTATTGTGATATTATTAAGTATAAATATACAATTGTTAAAATTAGTTACATAAAGTAATATAAGCAAAAAATCCTTTAGAATCATTGTAAGAACGATATCGATTTTATAAAAATTATAAAATATAAATATTTACGACGAAGTGTTATTTTCTTTATTTAACACTTAGTATATTTTTTATCCATAATAAGATCTGAGAAGATGGTATGGATATCAAAAAAAACCGAGCAATTGATAAGAAAATCATTAAAATTGCAAAACTAGCTTTCATTTGTACTGGATTGTTTTCTTCAACCCATAGTTTTGCAAGCACTTTACATTCTGAGAGTTTAATTCAATTAAATGATTCTGAACTTTCGGATGTGAGTGGTCAGGCGCTGATGAGCTTAAGTTATATTGCCCCAAATGACTCAATCAATAACATGCAAGGACAAGATGTTGGATTCTATAAACTTGGACTTGAAGCTGAGCTTGACCTAAATGCCAATATTAAAAAATTACAACTGGGTTGTGGTGGGGTAAATGGGGCAGGCGGCTGCGACATTGATATTGATAATCTGAGTCTTTCAGGTATAGCAGATACCCGCGAAGGACGTGTAGGTTCAAGTGCAAAACTAACCAATCCCTTTGTAGAATTTGCGATAAAAAACCCCAATTCTGCGTCAACACGAGAAGTGGTTGGTTTGCGTTTAAGTGCTGAAAAAGTTTTAGGCTTATTAACCACAGGAATAGAGAACTCTGATTTACCCAATGGAATAAATAGTTTAAGTGGTGCAATTAAAATTAAGGCGACCACAGGAACGGGATTCACTGCTCCAAGGGCGATGAGGATTAACGATACTGGAATGGCTATTAATGGTCGAATTAGAATAGCTATTATTGCACCAACTTTTACTACAAATGACTATAATTTACAGTTGCAATCAACCAGGGCGAATTTATTGATTAATGCAACAACCTTAACAGGAACGCGTTTAACTTCTGCAAAACTAACAGGCACTGCGTTGATCGATAATTTAAACTTTGGCGGAAATATTAATGCAAGGGTAAATCTACCATTTGTTTCATTGATTCCTTTAAGTATTAATTCAAATGGCTATATATCAGGCTTACGGGCTGATTTGGATATCGATGAAAATCTGGGGTATATTCATAAATTCCCTTTAAACAACCCTTTCTCTTTATCACTACAGTCGACTCAGGTTCACTGGCCTGGAGCTGAATATACGCGGATCGCGGATGGTGGTTAGCTATAGAAGATGAAATTGATATTGGTAAAGTTGTACCAAAAAATCAGATTGATGTAACCAATGATATTCTTAAACAAGTTGTACCTAGTATTAGCAATTATTTGACAAACAATCCACCGACTTGTCAGTTAGTTATTGGATGTCTAGCTCTTGGTTTGAATATTGGTGAAATTAATTTATCATCGGCAAAACCACTGTATTTCCCAATTAAGGATTTACCCTTAGCAACTCAAGGCTTTGCACCTAATTGCTATGGCAATCTAAAATTCTGTTAGACCTTTAAGACTAAAGGAAGCCTCCTGATGGAGGTTTTTTCTTATATAGGATTGAGCTTTATCACTGTGCCAATCATCACGACTTGCAATAACTCACTCAAGTGACTTGAAAAGCATAAGAGGTACTGAAAAGTAGATTGTATGACTATTAAGTATAAATATATAATAATTAAAATTAGTTACATAAGAAAATATAAATAAAAAGTCTTTAGAATCATTGATAAAGTAATCTTATTTGCATAATTGTTATAGTATTGAGATATTTAATTCACTTTTCTATTTGCTTTATTTGTATTTTAGTATATTTTTTATTCATAATAAAATGAGATAAGCTGATATGGATATCAACTATAATAGGATGATTGATAAGAAAATCATTAAAGTCATAAAAAATGTCGTAATTTATGCTGGATTGTTTTCTTCAATGCAATGTTTTGCAAATTCTCTATACTTGGAGAGTTTGACTCTATTGAATGACTCTGAGCTTTCCGATGTTCATGGTCAGGCACTGATGAGCTTGGGTTATATTGCGCCAAATGACTCAGTCAATAAGATGCAGGGGCAAGGTGTTGGTTTTTATAAACTTGGACTAGAGGCCGAGCTTGAATTGAATGCCAACATTAAAAAGTTACAGCTCGGTTGTGGTGGGGTAAACGGGGCTGGCGGTTGCGACATTGATATTGATAATCTGAGTCTTTCAGGTTTGGCTGATACGCGTGAAGGGCGTGTGGGTTCAAGTGCAAAATTAACCAATCCATTTGTAGAATTTGCCATAAAAAATCCCAATTCTGCTTCAACAAGAGAGGTGGTTGGCCTACGTTTAAGTGCTGAAAAAGTTTTGGGAATGCTGACAGCAGGTACTGAAAATACAGGTTCGCCAAACGGAATTAATAGTCTCAGTGGTTATATGAAAATTAAAGATACTACTGGCACAGGCTATACTCAGGCACGTAATATGTCTTATTCAGACACAGGTAAAACTATTGATGCAAATATTAATGCTCGGATTTGTGTAATTCTTTGCTTAAATATTCCTCTTGGGGTGAGGTCAAATAACTATAGTTTAAATTTAGATTCAGCTAAGGCTGATATTTTTATTAATGGGCAAACCATATCTGGCAATAGAATGAATAAAGTTCTTTTAAACGGTTATGCAAATATTAATAGAATTAATTTTTCGGGCAATCTAGAAGCATCTTTGAATATTACAGCTGGTTTATTTAAGCTTCAAAAAACGGTTGATGGTAATATTACGGGTTTAAAAGCGAATGTGTCTGTTGATCAAAATTTAGGTTATATTCATAAAATTAATTTAAATAACCCTTTTTCATTATCTCTGCAAAATCAAAATGTGTGGTGGCCAGGAGCTGAAGCCGCTGCGCAAAAAGGTTGGTGGATGGCATTTGAAGACTCTATTGATATTGGAGATGTTACACCAAGTCAAAAAATTATTATTACCAATGATGTACTTAGACAAGTGGTAGATCCGATTAGTAATTACTTAACCTCAAATCCGATTCCATGTAGTGGATTGGGTGGATGTTTAGGTGGTTATTTGGGCATTGGAAATGTCAACTTACCCAATACATCAGTAAACTTCCCATTAAAAGATTTACAACTTAAAAATCAAGATTTTGCTCCAAACTGTTATGGTTCTTTAAAATTCTGTTAAAGGTTTGCTAAAAGAAAAAAACCTCCATTTCGGAGGTTTTTCGTATATCAAACAGATTATTTATGCATGATTCGTGATTTATCACGTTGCCAATCGCGATCTTTTTCAGTGGCACGTTTGTCATGTAACTGTTTACCTTTTACCAAAGCAATCTCAAGTTTAGCCAAATGACCTTTCCAGTAACACGCCAAAGGTACGCAGGTATAGCCTTTTTGATTGACAGCACCAAGTAACTTTTCAAGCTCACGGCGCGATAGCAACAGTTTACGGGTACGTGTCGCTTCAGGGACTACGTGAGTAGATGCTGAAAGTAAAGGTTGAATTTGAGCACCGAAGAGAAATGCTTCATTATTTTTAAAGGTGATATAGCTTTCAGTAATGGTCATTCGCCCAGCACGTAATGACTTGACTTCCCAACCTTGTAACGAAAGCCCAGCTTCAAATTTTTCTTCAATAAAATAATCGTGGCGTGCACGTTTATTTTGTGCAATCGTCCCACTATTATTTTTTTTAACGACAATGTTTTTCGACATAATACAAATATTCCAAGAATAGCCTTATTTTGCCTCAAACTTGGCTTAAGGTGAAGTCATTTCACAATTAAAGCCAAAGCTAAATCAAAAGAGGTTATTCGCTAATATTTAAGTTTTTGTTAAACTATAGCCCTACATAACAAACTAGAGTACAAATGGATGTCTAAAACTCGTGTCATCTATCCAGGAACTTTTGATCCAATTACCAATGGCCATGTTGATTTAGTCGCACGTGCTTCACGAATGTTTGATGAAGTTGTGGTCGCAATTGCAATTGGGCATCATAAAAATCCAGTCTTTAGTTTGGAAGAACGTGTAGAGTTAGCAAAGATATCACTCAAACATTTACCCAATGTTGAGTTTGTCGGTTTTGATGGGTTATTGGTAAATTTTGCACGTGAACAACATGCTACAGCGGTGTTACGTGGCTTAAGAGCTGTTTCAGATTTTGAATATGAATTTCAGCTTGCGAATATGAATCGTCAGCTTGATCATGATTTTGAAACAGTATTTTTAACACCATCAGAGCAATTTTCATTTATTTCTTCGACGATGGTTCGAGAAATAGCACGATTGAAAGGCGATGTGGCAAAGTTTGTTCCTCAATGCGTTGTTGAAGCCTTCCATCGTAAACATCAACAAGGTTGGTAGCGTGTCTTTAATTATCACTGATGAATGTATCAATTGTGATGTATGCGAGCCTGTATGTCCAAATGATGCCATTTTTATGGGGGAGGAGATTTATGAAATCCATCCAAACCTATGTACAGAATGTGTCGGGCATTTTGATCAGCCACAGTGTGCGCTTTTCTGTCCAGTCGACTGTATTCCGCTCGATCCGAACCATGTAGAGAGCCAAGACGACTTGATGGAAAAGTATAAAAAACTAATTGCTCAAAAAAGCGCAAGCAATTAGCCGAGAAATTTGTTAGGATACGCCCCGAAGTGAGCCAGACGATCGCTGCTGTGGAGATCTCCGTGATTGAAGCAGGGGAGGAAAGTCCGGGCTTCATAGGGCAAGGTGCCAGGTAACGCCTGGGCGGTGTGAACCGACGGAAAGTGCAGCAGAGAGTAGACCGCCTTCAATATCGTTTCTTTTCGGAGAAATGGAAGGTAAGGGTGAAAGGGTGCGGTAAGAGCGCACCGCATGGCTGGTAACAGTTCATGGCATGGTAAACCCCACCAGAAGCAAGACCAAATAGGGATCCTATAGGCATGGCCCATGCTGGATCCGGGTAGGTCGCTTGAGCGTATGAGTGATCATGCGCCTAGAGGAATGATCGTTCTAGACAGAACCCGGCTTATCGGCTCACTTCGATGAATTTTATTTTAATTAGTGCTTGACGTAACATTGTTTACAGCAGATAATGCGCGCACAGTTTTAGGCTATGTAGCTCAGTTGGTTAGAGCACCGCACTCATAATGCGGGGGTCACAGGTTCAAGTCCCGTCATAGCCACCATTTTTATAGACCACGTTTCCAAAAACGTGGTCTTTTTTTATCTACAAGATTTAAACTTTAACAGCAAGACTCGGTCTTGTTTAAAAACCAAGATTCAGCCCTGTACTATCCCCAATATAACTTAAGCTACTTTTAGGCGTCTTTTTATAATCATAAAGCGTTGTTTTTGATAATTTAGCCAAGCCAAATTGATAAGAAAAATTAAATTGCACCTGATTGATGTTGTATTGCGTTAACACCTCAGCATGTTGTTGATTAATCTTTTCTAGCAATGTTTCAGCACGCTCAAGGTCATCGAGATAATCTGGCTGATTCACATTTAAAATTAAAACCTGATTTGTGGATTCAGCCTCTCCGATGAAGGTATGGCGACTTTCAACTTGAGCATTTTTAATGTCATCAGAGATCAAACTAAAATCATTGGCTGATATTGCTTTACTTTGGAGATAACCCCATAAATTGACGGAAAAAATCACAATGGTTAACAGCGCAATGATGTAGTAATGAATATTCCATACAGGTTGGCGTGGAATATTGGATTGAGCGTTTCTGAGGATTTGAGTTTCACTGAGTAGATCGTGCAGAGATTGTTGGCTATTTCCATTAAAAATAGCCAAGTAGAAACAGGCAAAAACAATACTTTGAAAAAATGCCACAAGCAGACTGAGTAAAAGATGCTGAGTTGAATATGTTTGTAAATAACCAGCAAAGCAAAATGGAATGATAAAGATACTTGATCTAACCAAAGAACGCATAAATGGAATTGAAGCACCATTTAAATCTTTTACCCTAATTTTACCCAGGATTTTCCCAATAGTTTTACCATTACCTATCTGGCTGTTAAAAGCAGCAAAATAAAATAGACAGAGGAGCGTACCTATACATTGGAAAATAAAAGGAGAATTTTCAAAATATGGGTAGAGTATTTTGCCCGTCACTAAACAGGCTACGCCGACGGTAATACAGTCGATGATAAATGCGAATATTCGAGGAAATATAGGGGCGGCTTTTTGAGTTTCAGTAGTAATTTCAGACATGGTGTTGGTTTAATTAAGTTTATGAAAATATTAATAATTAATGTAAATTTATTATATTATAAGTTTTTTAATGAAAAATAACCAGAAAAATATAGTTGAGCTATCACGCTTTTTAGCAAGATGTATTGAACTTTGCGTTATTTTTAAATTGGCGATTTATAGATGATTTACAAATTTTAGGCATAAAAAAACCAGCTTATCGCTGGGTTCTTTATTGCACCATTTTAATAAGACTTAAAATGGTGCCCGAGGCCAGACTCGAACTGGCACGCTTTGTGGGCGGGGGATTTTAAATCCCCTGTGTCTACCGATTTCACCACTCGGGCATGTGCGCAATAATAAAGGACAGTTTTTCTCTTGGCAAGCGTATTTATGTCGATTTGCTTTCTTTTCAATCAATTCATGTGCTTATGTTTGAAAATAAAGCATTTTAAGCCGTTGAATGGGTATTTTGTCATGATTTTTTCATCAATTTGAGATTAAAGCGAAATATTAAGCCTTTAAATTGATTGGATAAAAAAACTTAGAGGAAACCAACTTCAATGCCAAACTCAATTTCACGCCGTGAACTTATTCAAAAGTCATTAGCCAGTTTTGGGGCATTATCTATACCAGTGTCGTTGACTGCTTGTGGGAGTGATAACAACGACTCAACATCTCCTACTACAAAAGTTGAATTTTTACATGGTGTTGCCAGTGGCGACCCATTAAAAGACCGTGTGATTTTGTGGACACGTATTACACCACAGGATACGTCTTTGCGTTTAGAAGTGGTTTGGGAAATTGCCACAGACGATAAATTTACGCAAGTGATCAATACTGGAAAAGTACAAACAGCATCAGCTCAGGATTTTACCGTTAAGGTCGATGCAGACAAGCTTAAGTCCGGGCAAACTTATTATTATCGTTTTAAATTTGGTTCGGTGATTTCGCCAGTAGGGCGTACCAAAACATTACCTGAAACCACCAGTTCGGTGCAGTTTGCGGTGTGTTCATGTTCAAACTATCCTGCTGGCTATTTTTATGTATATAAGGAAATGGCAAAACAAGAGGTCGATGCGATCATCCATTTGGGAGATTACATCTATGAATATGGTAAAGATGGATATGCCACAGAAGAGGCGGTAAAGCTGGGTCGTACACTCGCTGCTGACAATGATAAAGAAATTATCAAGTTGGATGATTACCGTAAGCGTTATGCGCTTTACCATACTGACAGCGATTTACAGGCCGCACATGCACGTCATCCTTTTATCGTGATTTGGGACGACCATGAACTGGCAAATGACGCATGGAAAGACGGTGCAGAGAACCATCAAGCCAATGAGGGCAATTTCTTAGACCGTAAATTGGCGGCTTTACAGGCCTATTTTGAATGGATGCCGATTCGTCCTGTATCTGCAACAGATCACTTAAATATTTATCGTCAATTTGACTTTGGTTCATTGGTACAATTGACCATGTTAGATACCCGTATTTTGGCACGTGACAAGCAACTTGATTATGCCAATTATATGACGGCTTCTGGTTTAGATATCGCTAAGTTCCAGACAGATTTAACCAGTACTACCCGTACACTGATGGGTTATACCCAGCGTGAGTGGCTACAAAAGAAGCTGGCACAATCTACAGCGACTTGGAATGTGTTGGGACAGCAAGTGTTGATGGCAAAAATGTTAATCCCTGCTGAATTGCTATTGTCTTTATCTGCAATTACCAGTGGAAATGTTACCGCCGAAACTTTGGCAAAAATGAATCAGCAGATCATTGAGTTAGTTACTTTAAAAGTTCGCTTGAAAGGTGGTGATCCAACATTAACCGCCACAGAAAAAGCCCGTGTAAGCACAGTTGCACCCTATAATTTAGATGCTTGGGATGGCTACTATGCAGAACGTGAAATTTTATATGGCACACTTAATGCATTAAATAAGAAAGTTGTGGTGTTGGCAGGGGATACCCATAATGCATGGTCTGCTGACTTGCATACTCAAGCGGGTGATTTTGTTGGGGTGGAATTGGCAACCAGTTCGGTCTCGTCACCAGGGATGGAAAAGTATTTAAGTATTCCTTTGGCACAGTTACAACAATTTGAAATGGCCTTCACCACACTCATTGATGAATTGAATTACACCAATTTAAATCAGCGAGGGTACTTAAAAGTGAGCTTTACAGCACAACAGGTACAAGCGGATTGGGTCTTCGTAAATAGCATCAAGGAAAAAACCTATACGGTGGATACGGCTCGTGCCCATCAAGTGGTTTTAAATAACAATTTGGTTGATGTAAAGACTGTTCAGAAAAGTGCATAAATTTTCAAGCCTAAAAAGCCGAGTTTAGATCACTCGGCTTTTTTAATGCTATAGATGGATTACATCATACTGTCCATATAGGCATCTAAATCTTCATATTTATAGGTTTTACACATTTCATTTTCATATTTTAATAGTTCTAAATGTAATTCTAAAAAGGTGACTAAGCGCTTTTGATAAAATTGATATTTCTCAGAATCTTTGGCTAAGAATCGCATTTTGAATTTGGCTTTCTTGGCTTGTTTATAAGCCCATAAACAGGTTTTTCGAATCTGTTGTAATTGGTAATATTCAGTGTCTTTGGTGCTATCTCTAAATAAATTTTCTTTATAAAATTTAACAAAACCAAAGCTCATTGCAAAGAAAAATAACAGACCTTGCAGTAGGGTGCTTTCTATAAAATAAAGATTGAGGGCTTGCAGGACGATCAGTACCGCAAGCTTAAGCGGAATATTATTGAGTTGTTGGTATAAATGTGTCGAACTGTGTTTTATTTGTTTGATAATGATCGGAACAATAATCATAAAAAATAACATAATCGCTAAAGCGGCAATGCCATTGGCTTGAAAGCTATCGAATTGAGGAAAATGATTTGCAATATACTGACCTAAACTAAAATAGATGCTGCAAAAAATCATAATCGACAAAATCCAAGGAATAAATTCCTTTGCTTCATCTAAAAGCCCTTTGGTTTTAATTTGACTATAAAATAGAAAGTTGCGCTTAAATGCTTGTGGGTATTGTTGTTGTAATTGATTTAAATAGAGGGAAACTTGCTTGTTTTGAATCATATAGGCTTCGCTTATCTAAATTTCACTTTGGATATTAACATAAAAAACAATATAAAATTTTAGGCATAAAAAAACCAGCTTATCGCTGGGTTCTTTATTGCACCATTTTAACAAGAATTAAAATGGTGCCCGAGGCCAGACTCGAACTGGCACGCTTTGTGGGCGGGGGATTTTAAATCCCCTGTGTCTACCGATTTCACCACTCGGGCTTTACAAGATTGGAGGCGGAGGTCGGAATCGAACCGGCGTACACGGAGTTGCAGTCCGCTGCATGACCACTCTGCCACCCCGCCATGTCTTGGTGATGCACATATTAGCAATCTTTGAAAAAAAAACAATACTATAATTCATGCATATGCACATAAATTCAGCATATGAAAGAAAATTGTCTAAATAATCATGTATTATTTGCAAAATTGATTCATATCTACTTTGGAGATGTGCCGTGGCATTGGTATTGGATGGTCGCGCATTAGCGAAACAAATTGAAGCAGACTTGTTGACTCGTGTTGAAGCTATAAAAGCAAAAACAGGTCGTACCCCAATTTTAGCGACTATTTTAGTGGGTGATGATGGTGCATCTGCGACGTATGTACGCATGAAAGGAAATGCTTGCCGTCGTGTTGGTATGGATTCTTTAAAAGTAGAGTTAGGTAAGGAAACCACAACTGAACAATTATTGGCTGAAATTGAAAAATTAAATGCCAATCCTGATGTTCACGGTATTTTGCTCCAACATCCTGTGCCTGAACAAATTGATGAACGTGCTTGCTTTGATGCCATTTCACTTGAAAAAGATGTAGATGGGGTAACTTGCTTGGGTTTTGGTCGTATGGCAATGGGTGAGGCTGCTTATGGTTCGGCAACACCTGCAGGTATCATGACGATTCTTCAAGAAAACAAGATTGAAATCGCTGGCAAGCATGCAGTTGTGGTGGGGCGTTCGGCTATTTTAGGTAAGCCGATGGCAATGATGCTACTTCAAGCCAATGCAACAGTGACAATATGTCATTCTCGTACACAAAATCTTGCTGAATTGGTAAAACAGGCTGATATAGTTGTCGGTGCAGTCGGTAAAGCTGAATTAATCCAAAAAGACTGGATTAAGCAAGGTGCTGTTGTGGTTGATGCTGGATTCCATCCTCGTGACGGTGGTGGTGTGGGTGATATCCAATTGGTCGGTATTGAAGATGTCGCTTCAGCTTATACACCAGTTCCAGGTGGTGTAGGTCCGATGACGATCACAACGTTGATTCGTCAAACTGTAGAAGCTGCTGAAAAAGCGTTAGCTTAAGTCCTGTTTTATTCTGGGCACAGTGAAAGCCATGCATTCACTGTGCTTAAATTCAGCCTACATTTACATAGCAATGTTTATTTTTCAGTAAAAGTAGGCAATATTGTCATTAGTTTAATGGTCATTGGCTTAACGCGTTTAAGATCTACTTTTAAGTAGCAGTATCTGAGACTTAACAAGAAGTATCTTCTCGAACCTTAGCACATGATGTTACTGTCTATCGAATATGAGGAAGAAGCTGTATTTCCTCAATATCAAAATAATAATTTTGGTCATATTTTGCATGAGCTGTACTTATCAATTTCCTAAAGCCCCACAACATTTACTTGATGCTTTGCATGAAGTGATTCCTCAATGTGAATTATTGGCACAGCAGTTACCTGAAAGCCCAATTTCGTTATGGTTGATTCCACCTGTTTTTCCAACAGATCGTTTGGATGATGAGGTAATTCGCCGTATTTGGAATGATACACCGTATTGGATTTTTTGCTGGGCTTCAGGTTTAGCAATGGCACAATGGCTGATTGCAGAGCCACAGCATGTAAAAGATAAAGTGGTACTAGATTTTGGTGCGGGATCAGGTGTGGTTGCAATTGCAGCCAAAATGGCAGGTGCAAAACGTGTCATCTGTTGTGATATCGACCCAATAAGTTTGGATGCTTGTCGTGAAAATGCTTTGCTTAATGATGTAGAGCTTGAATATCTTGATGATTTATATAAAGCCGAACAGGTTGATGTCTTATTGGCTGCAGATGTTTTATATGATCAATCTAACAGGTTCTTCTTGGATGAATTTTTAAAATTTGCACCAGAAGTATGGGTGGCAGATAGCCGAGTGAAAAACTTTAGTCATCCGAATTACCAAAAATTGGATGAACGAAGTGCAACCACTTGGCCTGATTTAGATGAAGCCAAAGAATTTAGAAATGTGAGTTTTTATAAGACGCTATGACAGCGTCTTATTTTATTCTGCGATACACATAGCTAAAATCAAGAACAGGTATAACGTACCACATGTAAAGTGCTTGGACGGGTATCCAAGGCTTGGCGTGTTGCATAATCTTCACTGTTATTTAGGCTTGGCGTGTTGGAAAGCCCAAAAGATGTGCGGCTATGCCCAAGTTGAACGCCAGCCTGATCTTTTGCTGTTTGTGGATTGATAATTTCATTGGTACTTAATACAGAAATTTTATAGTTTTTGTTTGCACCCAACACTTTTTGACATGCGCGCTGTAATTTATCCGCATCCAAATCACGATCTGCACGACCTGAAAGGGTATACGCAAGGGTTGCACTATCTGCTGTTTGATTTTCAATTTGATAACCGGTTACGCCATTGTATTGACGAGGGGTTGTTTGACATGCAGATAAAGCTAAAACGATTAATCCTAAACCTGCATAAGTGATTTTTTTCATCTTTTAAAGTCCTAGCTTTTTGAATTATTTTTAGTATGCCATAGCTTTGCAATTTTCACGATAAGTGAATTGCTTAAATAAAACAGCTTTTTCATGTGAATAAAAAAGCTGTTTTAAATGAATTAGATTGCAAAGTTTATTGTGAATTAATCATCTGTAATCAGGCTATGTTTTTTCGTATCTTTCATAAATACATAGGTGATTAGAGATAAACCGATCATGAAGGTAATGTAATAGAAGAAATAGTTTTCATGCCCAGCATTTTTAAAGCTTAGTGCAACTAATTCAGCCGTACCACCAAATACAGTGTTGGCAAGTGCATAAGGTAAGGCAACACCTAAAGCGCGAATATGCGGTGGAAATAATTCAGCTTTTACAACTGCATTAATGGCTGTATATCCAGTTACAATAACCATACCACTCATACATAAGAAGAAAGCCGTTTTAGGATCCGTTGTCGAGCCTAAACCATTGAAAATAGGAACGGTAAATAGCACACCGAGTACACCAAAAGTGATCATAATCGGTTTACGACCAATTTTGTCTGAAAGTGCACCGACTGCAGGTTGAATCAACATAAAAATAAAGATTGCGGCTGTGGTAATTTCAGTTGCGGTGGTTTTTTCAAAGCCCGAAGTGTTGACTAAATATTTTTGTAAATAAGTCGTAAATGTATTGAAGGCTAAGGTACCGCCCGCAGTCAGCATAATGACTGTAAATGCTTGTTTAGGATACTTGGTGAATAAGGCCAAAGCACCAGATGTTTCACCACCATTTTTAGCTTGTTGTTGCGCTTGTTTAGATGATTCTGTTTCAACGAGACCACGACGAATCCAGAACACAACAATTGCAAGCAATGCACCGATAAAGAAAGGAACACGCCATCCCCATGCATGTAAGGCTTCTTCAGAAAGATTATGTTGCAGGATAATCAGTACACAGAGTGCCAGTAATTGACCTGAAATCAGGGTGACATATTGGAAACTTGAGAAAAATCCGCGGTGATTTTTACCCGCCATTTCAGTTAAATAGGTGGCACTTGAGCCATACTCACCACCAACACTTAAACCTTGTAATAAGCGCGCAAATAAAAGTAGTGCAGGAGCAAACATTCCGACTGAATCATAAGATGGCGCACAAGCAATGATTAATGAGCCAATACACATCAATGAAACAGAAAGTGTTAAACCCGCTTTACGGCCTTTACGGTCAGCATAAACGCCCATGATCCATGCGCCGATTGGACGCATTAAAAAGCCTAAAGCAAAAACTGCAGCAGCTTGGAGAAGTTTGACCGTTTCATTACCTTCAGGAAAGAACACAGGGGCAAAATAGAGGGTAAATGCGGCATAGACATACCAATCATACCATTCGACTAAATTACCAGCTGAACCACCAAGTATAGATTTGAAACGAGTTTTTCTATCAAGTTGCGAAGTGGCAACTTGAGGAGATGAATTGGACAAGGCAATTCTCCAAAAGAATATGCAAAATACAGCCTGTTTAACTTTCATTTTGGATGAAAATCAAAGCAGAAAAATCAAACAGAGAGAATTTCAGTCAGTATGACGAGGGAGATACAAATAATTACAATGCTCGTTATACGCTTGAATGAAAGCAGACCTTATTAGACTTTGGTCTTAGCTGTGTTGAGGGTTTATTGTTGATCTAGAATGAGAAATGCTAGAAATAAATGAATAATTTTTTTAAAACAGGCATTTAATTTGAAATATTTTATAAATTATAAGAATTTAGCTTAAAGTTAAAGCATATTTGCTTGCATCTAAATGTATGAAATGTACACAATTTAATAAGCTGAGTTGGATGAATTTAAAAAATTAATCTAGTCGTACAGTAAGCAGTCATGCTATTTATAGCAGCTAAATGTTCATTTTTGAAAATAAAACAATAAGGTTTCACATCTATGGACTTGATGATTCGACAACAGCAAACATTAGCATTGGTTAAGGCTCGGGGCTACGTCAGTATTGATGAGATTGCACAGCATTTTGCAGTTACCCCACAAACTGTACGGCGGGATATCAATCAATTGGCAGATGCCGGACTATTACGTCGTTATCATGGTGGCGCTGCGGTAGACTCAAGCGTCACCAATACCGCGTATAGTCAACGGATCAGCCATAATTTAGCGGCAAAACAGCGTATTGCAACAGCTGTCGCAAATGCAGTTCCAGACCATGCATCGTTATTTATCAATATTGGTACTACAACCGAAGCTATTGCCCATGCTTTATTGCAACATCGCGGTTTAAAAGTGATTACCAATAATTTAAATGTGGCGAAAATTTTAAGTATGAATGATGATTTTGAAGTACTGATTGCCAGCGGAAAAGTGCGCCCCGATGGTGGTGTGATTGGGCAAGCCACCTCTGAATTTTTTAAACAGTTTAAAGTTGATTATGCCCTGATTGGTATCAGTGGGATTGATGAAGATGGAACCATGCTCGATTTCGATTTTCAAGAAGTGTCTGTCTCGCAAGAAATTATTTTAGGTGCTCGGCAGGTATTTTTAGCCGCAGATGAGAGCAAGTTTGGTCGTCATGCAATGATGCGCTTAGGCCATCTTTCTGAAATAGACCGGCTTTTTACCAATAAAGTGCCCACTGAAAATTATTTAAAACAAATTCATGCAGCAGAAGTGGCTTTAACTGTGGTGTAGGCTAATTTTAAAACTCATAGTGAAAATATGATAAACGTGAAATTGATCATTTTTTGATAGACATTGATTAAAAAACTATCTATTATTTTCTTAAATGAAAACAAACGAAAATATATTTTCAAAAATGATTGTGAATATATGCAAATGATCAAAGGTGGTGGCGTTTATGACACAAATCAATGAGCAACAAACTTATTATGATATTGCTGTAATTGGTGGTGGAATAAATGGTGTCGGTATTGCCAATGATGCTGCTGGGCGTGGTTTATCAGTGTTCTTGTGTGAAAAAGATGATTTAGCCAGCCATACCTCATCTGCAAGCAGTAAGTTGATCCATGGTGGTCTGCGTTATTTGGAACATAAAGAATTTCGCTTAGTGCGAGAAGCCTTAGCTGAGCGAGAAGTCTTACTGGCAAAAGCACCGCATATCATTCGTCCTATGCGTTTTATCATGCCACATCAACCTCATTTGCGTCCTGCTTGGCTGATTCGTACGGGGCTGTTTTTATATGACCATTTGGGCAAAAGAGAGAAGCTTGCAGGTTCACATTTGGTTGAATTTGATCCTTATACTAGCCCACTAAAAACAGAGATCACACGCGGATTTGAATACTCAGATTGTGCTGTAGATGATTCACGCTTAGTGATTTTAAATGCGATGCAAGCACGTGAAAAAAATGCCACTGTGGTTACGCAAACACGCTGTATTTCAGCACAGCGTGAAGATAGTTTATGGAATATCCAGTTTGAAAATGAGCAGGGTATTTATCAGATACAAGCGAAGGCTTTGGTCAATGCTGCGGGGCCTTGGGTTGCACAATTTATTAAGCAAGAGCTTCAGTTAAAATCGCAATATGGGATTCGCCTCATTCAAGGCAGTCATATTATTGTGCCGAAAATATATGACGGTGATAAAGCCTTTATTATGCAAAATGATGATCAACGTATTGTGTTTGCAATTCCTTATCTCAATCAATACACCATGATTGGCACAACTGACCGTGAATATTTAGCAGATCCGAATAATGTTGAAATTAGTCAGCAAGAGATTGATTATCTGCTTGATGTATCCAATGGTCATTTTAAAGTGCAACTGACTCAAGCTGATATTATTCAGACATTCTCAGGGGTGCGCCCATTGTGTGATGATGAGTCTGATAATCCAGCCGCAATCACCCGTGACTATACTTTGGCTTTATCACAAGACCATGAGAATGATGCGCCCTTACTTTCTGTGTTTGGTGGGAAGTTAACCACCTATCGACGCTTGGCTGAGTCTGCCATGGAGCATTTGCAGAAATTTTTCCCTAACGCTGGGAAAGCTTGGACTGAAAAATCCTTACTGCCGGGTGCTGAGAATTTGGTTTCTGTTGATGGATTGGTTTTAGAAATTCAAAATAAAATCAAAGGGCTTGATCATGAAACTGCAATCCGTTGGGCACATGCCTATGGAACCTATACATGGAAATTTTTAAATCATTCGACATCTTTTCATGAACTTGGTCAAGACTTTGGCCATGGTTTATATGCCCAAGAGGTCGATTATTTGGTTGACCAAGAGTGGGCGGTCACCAGTCAGGATATTTTAAAGCGCCGGAGCAAGTTATATTTAAAATTTACTGAAGCTGAAATTCAAGCATTGGATGAATATTTGCTTGAATTGCATGAACGCCGCTTACAGAAAGATGTTGCCTAAGCAAAAGTGGAAATATATACCTTTGCACAAGGTACGTTATGACCAATCAAAGGTATATAAAACGCGTTGGGTTTCAGGTTGGTAGTACATTAAAATCCAATCTGCCCCATGTGAACAATATTCCCAGCCAGCAACAGCTGCAATAAAATAATAACGCTTGCCATCACGGTCATAAATATGAACTTCTTGATCATCAAGGTCTGCGTTGATGTAGCGTAAATCAAAATGTTCATCAATCGGATAAGTCCAGTTTCCACCGCCACATTCACCACCTAACTGGTCAAGCAGGGTTGTTGCAGAATCATTTTGATATTCAATGCGTGATGTTGAAATGACTTTTCCAGTTTCAGCAAAGCGCTGTTTAAGCTGCACGTAATCTTCATACATTTCTTTATGATGGGTTTTTAGATCGGCCTCGCAATCAGTATTCTCTAAAGCAAAATATCTTTTGTTTGCTAACCATTCATATTGATTTTGTTGATTTAATTGCATAATAAACCAATTTTCATTGGCAAATGCATCAGAAAATTCTGTGGTATCACTTCCGATATAACCTTCATAAGGTTCAATCGGATTGAGTAAATGAATTTTTCCTTGCCATGCTGGATTGATTGCGGATAAATCAATTGAAACAAGCGGAAGTAAATGCTGAGCTAGAAATAGATTTGAAGGGGCGAAGACGACTTCGTGGTCAGGTAGCAGGGTTAGATAAGGTTGAGTTGTGGTAATGTTTTTAATTGCTGTCATTGCGCTTATTTTTAGATATTGAATGGTTGCATTAAATCACAAAAAAGACCGAACGCGTCGGTCTTTTTGCTCGGCTTAGTCAGTCAGCCATAAAGCACCTAACTTTTCATCCCACTCACTTGGGGTGATGACCATACGACCTGCATTGGGGGTTAAGGTAATCTCACTAAAGAAAACATCGTCTTGAGATAATAAGAAATCGATTCGACTATAACCATATTTAAAACAAAGATCTTCTGACAGTTGAAGCATTTTATTTAATTTTTGCGGTTGTGCTAAACAGCTTGGCGTATTACTTTTTAGATCAACGGTAAAGGGTTGCAGCACCCAAGATGTGTCATACATATTTGAATAATCCACGCCTTGGCTGTCTTGTACATCGACTTCAATATATCGAGGCTGACCTTCAAAACAATGAACACGGCATGTTGTAATGGTCAGCTTATTGTATTGATCAACAAATAAATCAATATGTTGTTCGGCCAAAATTAAAGGAACAATGTCTTTGTAATGCCATTCCCGTTTTCTAAAATACATATTTTGTTTAAGGTGGTGATTGAGTTTGTGCTGCGCTTTTTTGATATCAAATTGCGCTTTATCATTACAGACAATCGCACTGCCGCTGTCATGATTGCATTTTAAAACAAACTTGTTGGGAAGTTGATTAAAGTCAATTTCCTCAAAGCACTTATATACACCAATCAGTGGAACAAAATGAGAACAACAAATTTTCTCTGCAAGCATTTCGCGTACAGCAAATTTATCTGCTAATTTCGTATGTAAAGGTGCTCTTTCATAGATCATTCTGGCGGTGACTTTTTCATTGAAACTTTTAGGCTGATCAAAGTTTGGGGTATAACCCAATTTAGCAATAAATCTTTTGGTGAGATAACGTCTATCTGAGACAAATTTGGCTCTAATAACTTTTGCCGAATAAATAATATTTTCTAACATGATTAAAAAAATCAATAAAATAAAGTAATATTTGAATTATAGAGAAAATATGAATTTTGTACATGGAAACAGTAATCATTTGTATTTTTATTACATAATTGTAATGAATACCAAAGCAATAAAGTGAACTGTATCACACTAAGCAAAAAAGACCGCTATGTAGCGGTCTTTTTGTATGACTTAATTTTTAGCGATTAAGCAGATTTTTTAACAGCCTCTAAAAGCTCATTTTGACGAGTTTTAAGTGCAGCTGGTAAGCGCTCACCAAGTTTATCAAATAACTCAGTGTGGCTCTCAATCTCTTTGATCCATTGATCTTTGTTTTGAGAAGTCACAAGATTAAATTGATCTTTAGTGAAGTCAGAACCTGTCCAGTTCAATTGCTCATAAGTTGGAACAAAACCAATCGGTGTTTCCACTGCTTCAGCACGACCTTCACAACGGTCAATGATCCACTCAAGCACACGCATGTTTTGACCAAAACCAGGCCATACAAAGTTGCCTTCAGCATCGCGACGGAACCAGTTTACGTTATAAATGCCAGGAAGTTTATTGCCTGCAGCTTTCGCTTTAGCACCAACTTCTTCACCCATTTCTAACCAATGAGAGAAATAGTCAGCCATGTTATAGCCAGCAAATGGAAGCATTGCAAATGGGTCACGGCGTACAACACCTTGTTGACCTACTGCAGCTGCAGTTGTTTCAGAACCCATTGTTGCTGCTTTATAAACACCATCAACCCAGTCAAAAGCTTCTGAGATTAAAGGTACTGTATCTGCACGACGACCACCGAAGATGAACGCAGAAATTGGTACGCCAGCTGGATTTTCCCAGTCAGCATCAATAGAAGGGCATTGACCCGCTGCAACGGTGAAACGCGCATTTGGATGTGCTGCTTTTTCACCAGCAACATGCGGTTGGCCTTTCCAGTTGGTCAAGTTAGCAGGCGCTTCTTTGGTTAAACCTTCCCACCATACGTCGCCATCTTCTGTTACAGCAACGTTTGTATAGATGACATCTTTGTGAAGTGTCGCCATACAGTTTGGATTTGTTTTGATATTTGTACCAGGTGCGACACCAAAGAAACCAGCTTCAGGGTTGATTGCATATAAGCGACCATCTTCACCTGGCTTGATCCAAGCAATATCGTCACCTACAGTTTCAATTTTCCAACCTTCATAACCTGCAGGTGGAATCAACATCGCAAAGTTGGTTTTACCACATGCAGATGGGAATGCCGCAGCAATATAGTGTTTCTCACCTTGTGGATTGGTCACGCCAAGGATCAACATGTGTTCAGCTAACCAGCCTTGTTGACGACCCATAGATGATGCAATACGTAAAGCAAGGCATTTTTTACCCAATAATGCGTTACCGCCGTATCCTGAACCGTAAGACCAGATCTCACGAGTTTCTGGATAATGCACGATATATTTTTCTGGGTTACAAGGCCATGCAACATCTTTTTGACCTTCAGCCAGCGGCGCGCCAACAGTATGTACGCAAGGAACATAGTCGCCATCAGTGCCTAGTACGTCATAAACAGCTTTACCCATACGAGCCATTTTACGCATACTTACAGCAACATAAGGAGAATCTGTAATTTCGATACCGATGTGAGCAATGTGAGAACCTAATGGACCCATAGAGAATGGAACCACGTACATGGTACGTCCTTGCATTGCGCCATCAAACAAACCGTTAAGGCGAGTACGCATCTCAGCAGGAGCTTCCCAGTTGTTTGTCGCACCAGCATCTTCTTGTTTTTCAGAACAGATGTATGTACGACCTTCAACACGCGCTACGTCAGACGGATCAGAATTCGCTAAATAAGAACCAGGATGTTTTTCTTGGTTCAACGCTTGCATAGTGCCGTTAGCGATCATCAAGTCGATGTAACGTTGATTCTCTTCTTCGCTTCCGTCACACCATTCAATTTTTGCAGGTTTAGTTAATTTAGCAATTTCTTCAACCCATGCAATGAGCTTGGGATGACGAACGAATTCTGGTGCGTTCACTTGGGTCATGGTGAGGCCTATCTAAAATATGTACAATTTTGTGTACAAATAATAATCTGAATGAAGGGATACTACATTCAAATTTAAGTATGAAAAAAAGTGGTGGTATTAAAACATATATTCATAAAAAAAATAAGACTAAAGGCTTAAAAGATACCAATGCTCGAATTTTCACTAAGTGTTTGATTTGTATTATCTAACATGGATTATTGTTTGATTTTTATTGGTATTTTTAAATAGAATGTAGGGTATTTTAATTGTAAATAATAATAGTTTACAATAAGTTGAAATTATAAGATTTACTAAATTAATTATTGATTTAATAAATGGGCATAATTCGAATTTTACATAAAGGTGCTTTTATTTGTTTAGAAAATCGACGAAATTAGTGCAAATACTTCAAAATAATCAAGCTTATGGACACAGAACTCAAGCCGCTTTCAATGATTTACAATGAAAAGTCAGGTTTTCATGCCAATCAGAAAGATGATATTTATGAAAAACTCATGACCATCTGGACCACACATGGTTTTGAAATTCAAGTTTTTGATATTGGTTCAGAGCCTGATATAAAAACCCTGATGCAAAAAATCTTTCAACGTCATGCACAATACCCAGATTGTGGTGTCATTGTCGCTGCTGGTGGTGATGGTACGTTGAATGCAGTCGCCTCGCAAATGTTAAAGCAAAAAATTCCTATGGGAATACTACCTTTGGGTACTTTTAATTATGTGGCGCGTGTTCTACATATCCCTTTGAATATTTTAGAGGCAGCCAATGTGATTGCCACAGGGGAGCCGCGTGCATCACATGTGGCTTGTATCAATGATCAAATTTATTTAAATAATGCCAGTTTAGGTTTATATCCTTTATTTATAAAAAAACGTGAAGAATATAATCGCAGGTTTGGTCGTTTTCCTTTAAATGCTTATACGTCTGGTTTGGATGTACTGATTCGTGATCGTAAAGAACTCAAATTAGAGATCGAAGTAGATGGGCAAAAGTATCCCGTAAAAACACCGCTGATTTTTTTTGGTAATAATCAACTGCAATTAAAAGAATTGAATTTAAAAATTTCGAAATGTGCAGAGGTGGGGGAAATTGCTGGTGTGGTGATCGCCAAAGGAGATAAAGCCACTTTATTTAAAACCTTGTTTCAAACCATTCGTGGAAAATTGGAAAACGCTTCCGATGTGTATAGTTTTGGTGCACAAAAAGTCATTGTCTATTCAAAAAAGCCTAAACTGACCGTTGCTGTCGATGGAGAAATTGTTTCAATGACGACCCCATTAACCTTACACGTAGAAAAAAATGCTTTAAAAATTATGGTGCCGCATGTTATTGCATCTGTCTGATCTACATTTTGGTACTGAACGTCCAGAGTGTATACGGGCGATTCAAAAGTTTTGTGCTGTGCATAAACCAGAAGTGGTTGTGGTGAGCGGTGATTTAACTCAACGTGCTAAATTTAAAGAATTCTATGCATGTAAACAGTTTTTAGAATCACTAAACATCCCTTATTTTGTGGTGCCTGGCAACCATGATATTCCTTTGTATCATGTCTGGAATCGTGCCTTTAGACCATTTGGCTTATATCAACTGTTCTTTGGCAGTTTAGAACATAGCTTATTTACAGAGCATTTTTATTTAATTGGCATGAACAGTATTCGTCGCCGTTATCATACACGCGGACATATTTCATTTGAGCAAATTCAAAATGTAAATCAGTTGTTGACCAATGCACCAAAAAATAAATTAAAAATAATCGTTAGTCATCAACCTTTTTATACCTCAAATGAAGACCATCACTTAAAAGATTGTCCGGCTTTAGGGCAGTTTGCCATTAAAGAATGGGGACAACATCAACTGTATGCTTTATTGCACGGTCATTTGCATTTAGTTGCGGTCTATGACCTGAATCAAGCCTTTGCGCTAAATTTAAAACAACCAGTTTATGAGGTTCATGCGGGTACAGCAGTTTCTCGACGTTTGCATAAAAATATACCCAATAGCTTTAATGTGATTCATCAAGATGGTGGCTTTGAACATTATTTTTTTGATGAACAATTACAGGAATTTATTGCCAAAACTGCGGTAAAAAATTCTGAATTAGACATGATTTGATACAAAAGAAGAAAAAACATACAAATTAAATAAATTTTTTTTCTTTTTCCCCTTGAAGCGTTTATTTCCATCCCCACAAATGTGACATACAAATATTTTGTCGATGACCTAGGAATAAGAAGTCATCTTCGCTGAGTAATCAATGACATTTTAAAATGTCTATGGAGTTAGAAATGAGCAAGATTCGTCCTTTACATGACAACGTTGTGATCCGCCGTGTTGAAAAAGAAACTAAAACAGCAGGTGGTTTGATTTTAAGTACTTCTGCAGCTGAACAGCCTGCTCAAGGTGAAATTCTTGCTGTAGGTAATGGCAAAATCACTGATAACGGTGTACGCGCTTTAGACGTTAAAGTTGGCGATAACGTACTGTTTGGTGCTTATGCAGGTACTAAAGTTAAAGTTGATGGTGAAGAACTTCTTGTGATGAAAGAATCTGACATTTTAGCGGTATTGGAAGGTTAATCTTCTGCTGTTGAGATGGGTTTTCATCCAAACATATTGGTCAAAATTTAAAATTTATAAAGATATCTGGAGTTTAGTATGTCAGCTAAAGACGTAAAATTTGGTGATTCAGCGCGTTCAAAAATGATCGCGGGTGTAAACGTACTTGCAGATGCAGTAAAAGTAACTTTAGGTCCTAAAGGTCGTAACGTTGTTATTGATCGTTCTTTTGGCGCACCACACATCACTAAAGATGGTGTAACTGTTGCTAAAGAAATTTCTTTAAAAGACAAATTCGAAAACATGGGTGCGCAATTGGTTCGTGAAGTTTCTTCAAAAACCAATGATATCGCAGGTGATGGTACAACAACTGCAACTGTACTTGCTCAAGCGATTTTAAATGAAGGGATCAAATCAGTTACTGCGGGTATGAACCCAATGGATTTGAAACGTGGTATCGACCTTGCGGTTAGAGCTGTTGTTGAAAATATCAAAGCAACTGCTAAACCAGCTTCTGATACCAAAGCAATTGAACAAGTCGGTTCGATTTCTGCAAACTCTGATGAAACTGTAGGTAAGTTGATTGCGCAAGCAATGGAACGCGTTGGTAAAGAAGGCGTGATTACTGTTGAAGAAGGTTCAGGCTTTGAAGATGCGCTTGATGTTGTAGAGGGTATGCAGTTTGACCGTGGTTATATCAGCCCGTACTTTGCAAACAAACAAGATACTTTGACTGCTGAACTTGAAAATCCATTCATTCTTCTTGTTGATAAGAAAATTGGTAATATCCGTGAATTGATTACTGTTTTAGAAGCTGTTGCAAAAACAGGTAAACCATTACTCATCATCGCTGAAGATGTTGAGGGTGAAGCACTTGCAACACTGGTTGTAAACAATATGCGCGGTATTATCAAAGTATGTGCGGTTAAAGCACCTGGTTTTGGTGATCGTCGTAAAGCAATGCTTCAAGATATCGCGATCTTGACAGGTGCTACTGTGATTTCTGAAGAAGTGGGCATGTCTTTAGAACAAGCAACGCTTCAAGATTTAGGTACTGCACATAAAATCACGATTTCTAAAGAAAATACTGTGATTGTTGATGGTGCTGGTGATGCAAATCAAATTGCTGAACGTGTAACTCAAATTCGTGCTCAAATCGAAGAATCAACATCTGAATACGATAAAGAAAAACTTCAAGAGCGCGTAGCTAAACTCGCTGGCGGTGTTGCTGTAATCAAAATTGGTGCTGCAACTGAAGTTGAAATGAAAGAGAAGAAAGACCGCGTAGACGATGCGCTTCATGCAACGCGTGCTGCGGTTGAAGAAGGTGTTGTTGCAGGTGGTGGTGTTGCGTTGGTACGTGCAGCTAAAGTACTTGACGGTCTTGTTGGTGCAAATGATGACCAAACTGTAGGTGTGAACATCCTTCGTCGTGCGATCGAAGCGCCACTTCGTCAAATCGTATCTAACGCTGGTGATGAGCCATCAGTTGTGATCAATGCAGTGAAGAGCGGTGAAGGTAACTTTGGTTACAATGCTGCAACTTCACAATATGGCGATATGTTAGAAATGGGTATTCTTGACCCTGCTAAAGTAACGCGTTCTGCACTTGAGCACGCTGCATCTGTTGCTGGTTTAATGTTAACAACGGAATGTATGATTACTGATATCCCAGAAGACAAACCTGCTATGCCTGATATGGGCGGCATGGGTGGTATGGGCGGAATGATGTAATATCTTTTCGAACTAGATCAAAAAAATCCTCGCTTTATGCGGGGATTTTTTATGCAAGTTGTTTCATCCTTGTCTTTTTGTATATTTTTTATTATGCTTTTGTACTGTTCGGTAAATATAAATACAACACGAAAACTGAGGAGAACTAAAATGAAAAGATTAATCTTCATTATTGCAATCACCCAGATGCTAACGGGATGTTTAAGTATCATGGGGCAAAGACCCGAAACAAGAAATGATTTGATGCAGTCTTGGGTGGGGAGTACAGAAGAAGAACTGATCAGTAAATGGGGCCCACCGTATAGAAGCTATGCACTCCCAAATGATGCAAAAATTATTTCATATAACGATGGCTGGAATGCTTGTACAAGGAAATTTATGTTTGAACAAGGCAAGGTCACCAAATGGGGATATAGCGATTGTTCTATGCATCTCAATCGACCTGGCAAAATTGACAAGAATATCCCAATTCCAAAACCATCACTTTAATCAATTATTTATAGAGATAACTTTAAACTGAAAGTCGCTGTTCGAGTTAAAATGTCGTTGTGCTTAGACTGGAGTAGCGCAGTAAAGCAAAATTAGGCTGTTATAAATTTTTATGGATTGACATTTTACCTGTGGTGGAATGTCAATATGCTCTCTAATTTTTTTTAAAAGAATAACTTAGATAAAAAGGTTATTTGATCTAGAAAGAATACTTACCTAAAAAGAATAATGATCCAGGTAAAGAAAATAATCGCCTGAGCTACGAACTGTGCGGCACTTCCCATATCTTTGGCATTTTTAGAGAGTGGATGACGTTCTAAAGAAACACGATCAACTACAGCTTCTAATGCTGAATTAAACAATTCTACAATGATTGCCAATAAGCAGACACCAATCATCACTGCTTGTTCAACAGATGAGACATCGACAAAAAATGTAATCGGAATTAAAACGATATTAATCCAAACAATCTGACGGAAAGCCGCTTCATTTTGGTATGCAGCTTTAAATCCTGCTAAAGAATAGCCTGTTGCATTGAGAATGCGTTTGAAACCCGTCGTACCCTTAAATGGAGAATAATCACTCATAAATCAAAGCAGCTAAAGTTTTTAAGAAGTGTATTATTCTAAACTTAAATTGGGATTAATTTTAAACAAAAAACACCAAGTTTAGAAAAAAATTAAGCAAACAGTTGAATTGGTTGCTTAATTTTTTTGAATAAATCAGCTGTTACTTGGTATTTGGATTGGCTTTTAAGTACGCATCTAAAGCTTTACGACCTAAACCAGGATCATCGGTAAATACACCATCCACACCAGCTTTAAAATACATCTCATATTCTTTGTTCGCTCCAGCTTCACAACGCTTGGCTGCATCTGCTTCAGCTGTACTACATTTTAAATTGTTGGCAAGGAAGTTATTTTCAGGACGGAAAGTATACGGATGGACTTTTAAGTTCACAGCATGTGCATCTGTAACGAAAGAAGAGGGTGCAGTATAGCTATCATTAAAAATATATGGTTTCCATGGACCTACACCATCAGCATATTTGGCGACGTCTTTTAAACCTTGCGCTGTTGCCATATCGCCATAGGTGGTTTTAATCCCTTGTGCGGCATAATCTGCTGGACTGATTTTCTTATCATCATAAAGCTGAATAATTTTGGCATGCTTTAAGCTTTTATGTGCTGTCAATTGGTCTTTAAAGTACTTTAAATTATTGACTTCAAATGATTGTAGATAAATTGGCGCAATTTCACGGCTATATTGGTACTTTGCCAAAGTTTTAAGCAATGGATCTTCCATAGCTAAATTTAATTTTTGAAAATATGTTGGGTGCTTGGTTTCAATATAGAGCCCAACCACTTTACCGGTTTTTTTATAATTTTTTTCCGCCAGTTCAATAATTTGCTCAAGGGTAGGGATATTCAACTGATCATTGTATTGGGTATTGTTCGGGCGTAAAGCTGGAATACGCTCGCGTGCTTTAAGTTGATTTAACTCACTTAAAGTAAAGTCTTCTGTAAACCATCCCGTTAATGATGTCCCATCGATGATTTTTGTTTTCTTACGATCTGCAAATTGGCTGAATGTGCTGACATTGGTTGTACCACCAATTTCATTTTCATGGCGTGCAACCAATACGCCATCTTTGGTCGATACCAAATCTGGCTCAATAAAATCAGCACCATCATCAATGGCTTTTTGATAACTTTCAAGGGTATGTTCAGGGCGTAAAGCACTGGCCCCTCGGTGACCAACAATAATGATCTTAGGTTCTTTGTATTCTGGTGTGACGTTTTCTGATTTTTTATCGTCATCATTACAAGCGGTTAATAACGCCATAATACTGATCATTAACCCAGTATTTTTAATCATATTTTTCTCAAATTCTTATATGGAAACTGGCTGTAGTCTAAGTGGTTAAATTGACACTGTGATGACATCAAGATGAAAAATTGATGAAATGCTTTTGGTTGATTTATGTCTAGAAGAAAAAAATTCTTCATAGTTTCTTCATATTTAAACTTATCATCCGCTTTTCTGTTATTTTTCCTTGAGTTTTTAGTTTAAGTCACAGAATATCCATATAAAGTCGATTTAATTGCTACAACAACTTTACCTCAATCCTTTGACGCAGAACCTACTCTGATGCTCTCAAAATTTTTTATTCAACGTCCTATTTTTGCCTGTGTACTTGCAATTATTGTCATGGCTTTAGGCGTATTTTCAGTCTTGAATTTACCGATAGAGCGATATCCAGATATTGCTCCGCCAAGGATTAGTGTTTCTACAACCTATACAGGTGCAGATGCTGAAACTGTTGAAGAGAGTGTTACTCAGGTTTTAGAGCAGCAAATTAAAGGGATCGACAATCTGCTGTATTTTAGTTCGAGTAGTGACTCATCGGGTCGTGCCAGAATTAGTATCAGTTTTGAAAACGGAACGGATCCAGATACCGCACAAGTCCAAGTACAAAATAGTATCAATGGTGTACTGAACCGCTTGCCAGATGATGTACAGCGTCAAGGTGTAACGGTGAATAAATCACTTGGCGATACATTTATGGTGGTGGGCTTGTATGATGAAACAGGTAAAAGTAACAATATCGAATTAGGTGACTACTTATCTGATCATATAGAACAAGAATTATCACGGATTGAAGGGATTGGTGAAGTTGATGTTTTCGGCTCTCAATACGCCATGCGAATTTGGCTGAATCCGAATTTACTGCGTCAATATCAATTGATGCCGAGTGATATTCGCACAGCAATAGAAGCACAGAATACACAGGTTGCAGCTGGTGGCGTCGGTGATTTACCAGTAACTGCTGACCAATATTTAAATGCAAAAGTCACGGCTGGTTCACGTTTAAGAACAGTCGACGAATTTAAAAATATTATTGTTAAATCCAATACAGATGGTAGCTATATCTATTTAAAAGATGTGGCGCGTATTGAGTTGGGTGCAGAAAATTATCAGTCTTTTAATACCATTAATGGTTACCCTTCATCGGGCATGGGGATTTCTTTATCCTCTGGTGCAAATGCTTTAGCAACATCTGCACTCATCAAAGCTGAATTGGCGAAGATTTCTGAAAAATTACCTCAAGGTTATAAGATTGTTTATCCACGTGATAACACGCCGTTTGTGCAAGAATCAATTAAAGAGGTGGTCAAAACCTTATTAGAAGCCATCGTATTGGTGGTTCTGGTCATGTTTATTTTCCTACAAAGTTGGCGTGCAACGCTGGTTCCAACCATTACTGTACCGATTGTGATTTTAGGTACTTTTGCGGTACTTAATGTGCTGGGCATGAGTATTAACACATTGACTTTATTTGCCTTAGTGTTGGCAATTGGTCTGTTGGTCGATGACGCCATTGTGGTGGTGGAAAATGTTGAACGTTTGATGCATGAGCAGGGCTTAACTGCAAAACAGGCATCTATCGAGTCTATGCAGGAAATGACAGGAGCTTTGATTGGGATTACCGTGGTCTTGACCGCAGTATTTATTCCGATGGCGTTCTTTACCGGTTCAACGGGGGTGATTTATCGTCAATTCTCCATCACCTTAGTGGCAGCTATGGCCTTGTCATTGTTGGTTGCATTGATCCTTACCCCAGCACTCTGTGCCATTATTTTAAAACCCAATCCGAAACCTATGCGTTGGGCCACTTGGTTTAATCTTAAACTTGAAAATCTAAGACAAGGTTATATTTGTCTGATTCAAAAGACCTTAAATTTGAAATGGGTGATTTTGACGATTTTTGTGGCTTTGATTGCTGTATTTTCACTGATCTATCGGACTTTACCCACCAGTTTTATTCCAAGTGAAGATCAGGGCATGTTGAGTGTACAGTTCCGTTTAGCTGATGGTGCACCGATGTCGAGTAGTCAGGTGGTTGGGGAAAATATTCGAAAATATTTCCTTGAGCATGAAAAACAAAATGTTGATATTGTCTTGATTCGTTATGGGCGTAATTTTTCAGGTACAGGGCAAAATTTAGGAACAGGCTTTGTGGCTTTAAAGCATTGGGATGATCGCTCAGGTACACAAAATTCTGCGCAAGCAATTCGTGAACGTGCGACAAAGTATTTTAGTCAAGATCGCAATGCTCGGATTACAGTCAGTTTGCCTGCTTCTGTAAATGGTTTGGGGGATAGTGATAGTTTAGAATTTTGGATTCAGGATATTAACGGTCAAGGACGGAAATATTTAGACCAACAATTCACAACATTGCAGGCACAAGCCAAACAGTTCCAATCCTTTGAAAATCTGGATAAAAAATCCAATCCCGATAAATCTAAGTTAAAAGTTGATGTTAATCAAAAATTGGCATTGGCAAATGGGCTGAGTCAAACCGCGATTAACAATACTTTGTCAGCAGCATGGGGTGGCTCTTATGTAAATGACTTTATTGATCGTGGACGAATTAAACGGGTGATGATGCAGGGCGATGCAGAGTTTCGTTCTAAGCCTGAAGATCTACAAGTATGGACGGTGCGTAATGCACAAAACCAAATGGTGCCATTTAGCAATTTCGCAACTACACGCTGGGAAGGTGGTCCCGACGTTGTGAATCGTTTCCAAGGTTATACCGCCTTACAAATGGAAGCCAATGCAGCGGCGCATACCAGTTCAGGTCAAGCCATGAAAGATATTCAGACCTTGATTAGTCAACAAGATGGAATTGATGTTGCGTGGAGTGGCTTGTCATTTGAAGAACAAAAATCAAGTAGCCAAGCATGGTTACTGTATTTGATTTCGATCGGCTTTATTTTCCTTTGCCTCGCAGCCTTATATGAAAGTTGGTCGATTCCAACTGCTGTGATTGCAGCAATTCCTTTGGGGATTGGAGGCAATATTATTTTTAGTAAATTGGCAGGTTTTCCAAACGATATTTACTTTCAAATTGCATTGCTGACCACGATTGGTTTGTCGTGTAAAAATGCGATTTTGATTGTTGAGTTTGCTGCACTATCACAGGAAAAAGGTAAAACAGCGATTACTGCTGCATTAGAAGGCGCAGGGTTGCGGTTACGTCCAATTCTGATGACATCCTTGGCCTTTGGTGCGGGGATTATTCCCTTGGTTGTTGCATTTGGTGCAGGTGCTGCCAGTCGTCAAGAAATAGGGGTAAGCGTATTGGGTGGGGTGATCTTCGGAACAGTTTTAGTTTTGCTGTTTATCCCATTTATGTATGTGCTGGTTCGTTCAATTTTTAAATCAAAAGTACCCTCTGAGTAAGGGTGTTGATTGATGAGCTTTGCTTGCTCAATGGTCTTTGATGAAGATTGAGCAAGCTTCAAATCATATAGAATCTTTAAAATATGTTTCACAACAAAAAACATCTTTATTTTCGTGGGATTGCAGTCCAACATGTGGCAAAAGTTTGATGGAATTTGGATCATCCTATGCAATTTTCTTTGGCACTCGTTTCAGAAATAGAAAAAGCCATTCAAAACCATCAATTTGATCTCATTGAAAAACAATTTGAACAAATCAATGACGCCGATATCGCAAAAATTTTGGCAGATTTATCTTTAAATGAACAGCTGACATTGGTGGAGTATTTACCCAATGCTGCCTACATTCTTGAGTTTTTATCACTCGAACAACAACTTAAAATTTCTGAACATTTACCGAAACAGATACTGGTCAATATCATTTCTGAGATGCACTCGGACGATCGTACTGATTTATTTAAGTACTTGCCTTATGCATTACAACAATCTGTTTATGCCGATTTAAGCCCTGAAATACAACAGCAGATCCAACATTTAGCCAGATATCCAGAAGAGTCTGCTGGTGCAATTATGAGTTCAGATTATGTGACATTGTCACCTGATTTGAACATGGCACAAGCCATCAAGCAGATCAGAGCAATTGCCACAGATCGTGAAACGGTCTATTTGATTTATGTGGTCAATGCACAAGGCAAGTTACTCGGGGTTGTGTCCTTACGTGAAATTATTCTTGCTGAGCCTGAGCAAACCATTGCTGAAGTTATGAGTACGGATTTGATTGTTGGGGACATTAATGAAGACCAAGAGAGCATTGCAGAGAAGCTGCATTATTATGACTTTATTGCGCTGCCAATTGTTGATGAGCAACAACGTCTTTTAGGTATTGTTACTTATGATGATGCCATGGATGTCGTCACTGAAGAAGCCACAGAAGACTTTTTAAAATCCAGTGCAGTCTCATCGTCTCCTAAAATGAGTATTAAGACAGCACCGATTCATTACCTCTATAAAAAACGGGTATTTTGGTTGGTGATTTTGGTTTTTGGCAGCTTATTGTCTGGATTCGGGATTGCGCATTTTGAAGATATTATCGCAAAGAATATTGTGCTGGTATTCTTTTTGCCGCTTTTGGTCGGGAGTGGCGGGAATGCTGGCTCACAATCGGCCACGTTAATGGTACGGGCATTGGCAACGGGTGATGTACATTTAAAAGATTGGATGTATCTGATTGGGCGTGAAAGCTTGGTCGGTTTATGTTTGGGCGGAACAATGGCAATTGCTGTGTCCATTCTTGGCTACTTTAGAGGCGATGCAATGGTCGCTTTGGTTTTAGCTTTAAGTATGATGGGTATCGTATTGATGGGTTGCTTAATAGGAATGAGTCTGCCATTTATATTGAATCGTTTAAAGTTGGATCCAGCAAGTGCTTCGGCACCCTTAGTAACTTCGATTTGCGATGCAACCGGCGTTATCGTTTACTTATGTATTGCATCGATTATTTTATAAGACATGGCTGAATGGTAAGCTTTAAAAATGCTTGGCTGATCATGTTTAATCAGCAATGTCTTTTCTTAAATCTCGACAACTGGGAATATCGGTATAGCGATATACCTGATAACCTGCTTGTTCTAACATCTCGTCACGTTGTGCATCGATATGTTCTTTGCCAAGGTGACTGGGATCATCAAGTTCAATAATAGCAATCACTTCAAGCTGTTTGTCGAGTAGCACAAAGTCGGTCACTTTGCGATTGAATTTGGAACGCAATTTAAATTGATTACAATCAATTAATGCGCTAAACGCGACTTGTGCAAGTACATGATGTTGTGGAAAGGCTTCATTTAAACGGAAAAACATTTTCTGTTCAAAAGGGGTGATCACACGTTTTGCATAATAATGTTTATTTCGAAATAAATACTGACCAAAGCAGGCAAGCAATAAAGCAATGGTTGCGATACTGCCAATCAATAAAAATAAAATTTGATGTAAATCGAGAGACATAAGCGATCGGTATCGTATAGACAAGAAAAAACCCACTCAATCATGAGTGGGTTTTTAAAATCTGGCTCTCCAACCTGGGCTCGAACCAGGGACCTGCGGATTAACAGTCCGTCGCTCTACCGACTGAGCTATTGGAGAATCTGGAACGCATTTTAGGGATGAAATGGGAATGGGTCAAGGAAAAATTGTTAAATTCATCATAAAAAAGCATTATTTGCTAAATATTTGATCATTCTGAATAAAAGTAAATCTGAATAAAAGCAAAGTTGTTTTAAGCGTTCTAAAATTTAGGCGTAAGCCGAAAAGCGGTTAAATCTTTTCTTTATAGAAAATAAAGATATAAAAAAGCCCACTTCATTATGAATGGGCTTTTTAGAATCTGGCTCTTCCACCTGGGCTCGAACCAGGGACCTGCGGATTAACAGTCCGTCGCTCTACCGACTGAGCTATGGAAGAATAGATGGCTCTCCAACCTGGGCTCGAACCAGGGACCTGCGGATTAACAGTCCGTCGCTCTACCGACTGAGCTATTGGAGAATCTGATGCGCATTTTATGGATGAAAGCCAAAGTGGTCAAGTGAAATGATAAGAAAAAAGGCTTAAATGTTTTTTTATTGTCCGAATTTAAAGAGTTTGTATATATATTGATTATTTTTAAAGTTTTCCAGCTCTTTATTCGAGATCAAATGATTATAAGTGGTTAAATTTTATTGCAGTTGCAGAAAGGTTCATAGGATCTGAATGGTGCTAAGCATCGCATAACTATAAAAGATTTTTATTGGATCTGCTTTTACTGTGTAACTAGGATTGATCATATTTGAATTGAAAAAAATTAAATCGCATAAAAAAGCCATTCTAAAAAGAATGACCTTTATACAAAAATAAAATGCTGAGATCTTATTTTTCAACACCAGCTTCTTGACCGGCATATTTTGCGTTTGCATAGTCCCAGTTTACAAGGCTTTCTAAGAAAGTCGAAATGTATTTAGGACGAGCATTACGGAAGTCGATGTAATAAGCATGTTCCCAAACGTCAATTGTAAGTACCGCTACTTTGCCATGTGCAAGTGGAGTATCTGCATTTGAAGTTTTAAGAATAGAAAGCTCGCCATTCACTTTATCAGCAACTAACCAAGCCCAACCTGAACCGAATTGAGTTGTTGCCGCAGCAGCGAATTCTTCAGCGAATTTTTCGTAAGAACCGAAA